CTATAATATAATACTTTCACAGCAACAAAAAAAATAACAGAACAGTTCAAACATTGAATTAATTTGTAAAAATGTTTGAATGTTTTACTGTGCTTTACAACCTCATCACAATTTACTCTAGTCTGAAAGCACACTTAAAACCGGGTATAAATCTGAAAGAATACAATGACAACAGCTATAAATTTCAAAATCACAGTCAGAAACCTTTGACACCAATCAAACAAAATCAGAAATCAGACATTAAATGTTTATGAAACATTGTTTTATTTACAAAATAGTATAAAAATGATCAAATTATTTAAATCACAGTAGAGTCCATGCTTCAAACAACCCAAAACGTCAAACGTCAAGGGTTAATATCTCACGGTAATTAAACCGTAGTGTCTTTTGACGTCATGTCACTAGGAAAGAACAAAGGTTTGGTCCTTGTCATGACTTAGTTGACCAGATGGCTGAAAAGCCTCATGAAATTTTGAAGCTTGCCTACATCTAAATATGGTGCCTTGAAGGCCTGTGGTTAGGTTACCCCACAATAAACGTTGAACGTTCCCCGAGATGACGGGATGAAACGTTTGGCGCCTTTTAACCTTGTACTCACATGCCAAAGTGATCTCTTTATGCCATCATCACCCACCAGTTTGGTACTTACACAGCTCGGGGGACCTACGCTTTTATTGTGTGACACCGCCTGCAACGCGCCGGGTAGGCCAACCCGCCAAACAGCTGTGTGGGGCCGGCGGCCCGCCCTGTGAGTCTCCACATACATCGAGCGCCAAAACGCTGCCTCGCGTCGCCTTCGGTAGGAAACGTTCATTGTGTAGCCTCTGGTTAGAGCCGCGAGCCAAGAGTCTACCTCCATCCCCTCACCTGCCGTGTCAAGAAGGGAGTCTAGCCCGCGTGCCTCGCTCGGTACGGGGCTCTACCTTAATTTTCAGTCACCCGGTTTCCTAACAGCAGCGTCCCCGCTGCGTTTTGACTAGACTTTGTCGGGGCGTTTCTCCAGCAACCTGTCAACCGCACCCGAGATTTGAATAAAGTATCCTTCTGTTCCGTCAAAAAGAGGTCCAAGTCTGTGCCGGTAGGCTCGGCGATGACTGAGAACCCTCCTTAAGCATCATTTCCTGGATGGCGACGGCTTGCGACACGGTCAGCAGAGGCGGCAGGTCGGGTCCGGATGACGAGGCCGACAGGTACGATGAGCAGGAGGACGAGGCAGTGGACCTGAAGGACGACGATGACTCGAGGGTGGAGACCGACGTCAGGGAGAGGGTAGACTCCGAGGTCGCCGGCAGCGTGGATGGAGCTAGGGTGTCGTCCCCCTCGAAACAGGGGTTGCTGAACCCCATACCTTCGTCCTCCATCAAGGCCATAGCTAGCGCCGAGTAGGGCGGGGGTGGGCCTTCCCCCACCGGGATCTGCAAAGGGACGACCACGTTATTTCCTTTTACATCATATCTCTTGGGGCTTGGGTTTGAGCGATATGACGCACCTGCTCGTAGAAGCTGGACGTTTGATGTTCAGCCATGGCGTAGTCGTACGAAGGCGGTTTCTCCAGCTCAATGTGGAGGGGGGGCACCGCAGCCGGCGTGACTGCTGCTGCAGTCGAGCGCCCAGTGGTCTCCTCCGCCACCATCTCGTCGTAGCGGGGAGGCCGGTCGCGGAGGCGCTCGTCGATCCACCGCTGCATGGAGTTGACGCTCTGCGCCCCGTCACTGGTCCTCCGCCGCGGCGAGCTCGTGCTGTAACGCACCTCATCGGTGAGTTGCGCAACTATTGTTCAGACGGGCGGCAGGCGACAGGCGTCGTGATAAAACCCGTGCACTTACGTGATCAACGACCTGCAGGCGCAGAGACCGACGGCCACGCAGAAGAAGCAGATGATGCCTCCAATAAAGAACGACTCCATCATGGTCCAGGGCTCGTCGTCCACGAGCGACGTGTAGCACAACCTGCGGAGGAGGATCATTCACCATCACGCTGAGGGCCTATAGGGGCAGCTGCCCGGGCTTGCCTAGGGGCGCGCCCCGAACCGCACGCGCGCGGTGTGGTTCCGCGACCGGTACCGGCCCTAATCGCGACATTGATAAGATTATTAGCCCTCGAGCAGACAGCTATCGTGACGTCACTCAGGACAGGAAGATCCGCGATCTTCGAAGGTCGCGTTTACTGTTTTTGTTGTTTTCGTTTAACAAATAGCGGGTTTTTGAACGAGTATCTGCTACGTGCTAAAACTTACCCGGCGTCGCAGCCCTTGAAGCTTAAGTCGGAAACGTTGCAATTTTTGATGTCTGAGAGGCAAGGAAGAAATTAAAATGAATCAGTAAGAGAAACTTTGTCGAGCAATCCAGAGTAAGTCTCACGGTGTATGGTACTCACATGCCTCGCAAGCCTTAGGGAAGGGGAACTGGCACTGGCAGGTGCCATGGACGCAGATGTGATACTCGGGACAATTTTTGCTGAATAAGGCACCGCTACCGCACTCAATTTTCTCGTAGCATGTGATGCCGTCAAGGCACTTTTTACCATTATCTACGACAGAGGAAGAAACCTTGTCCGATTACAATTGTGTATGCACTAAGTGACTAAATGCCAACATCACCCGACAGCCGCAGCCTCGTGCCCTGCAGTGCAGTATACGCAGTCGGCGCAACAGCCTCAGTCGCTGCTTATCAGTCGAGCTTGGGACAAAGCGTCGTTTCCCTTGCACCTCGCCTTCCCTCTGTTACATCGAGGGTTCCGGGAGCTTTGGCTTTGGCCCTTTGGCAATAACACGAACGACGAACCGCAACTGAGGCAAGGGCAAGGGTGTTTTCGTGCAGGTGTGTGTGTGTGTGTGTGTGTGTCTTCTTTCTTCATTTCTTTTTTGAGGGGGGGGGGGGGGGAGGCACCTGGATGCAAAGAACACGCACCTTCATCACAGACGTCGGAGGTCAGGTCCTCCCAGAAGGGCCAGGACAGGGTCCAAGTCCCGATGGACGAGGTTTTGACGTCGGCGTCGGTGGCAGAGGGAAGTCCCGCGCGCGCGCCCCCGAGGCACGACAGCAGCAACAACAGCAGAGGGGCCTGAGCCAACATCCTCCGAGCGGAGAGGGGAGGCGGGCTCGGCGGGCGGCTGGGGCGCACGGCTGGTAGAGGCACCACGGGCGGAGAGGAGAGGCCAGACACCGCACCGGGTGCGACGCCGTCCTGATACGTACTGTCGGCCAGCATCAGGTACACACCGGGCACACACACTCACGCGGGCCGCTCCTCAGGCGGCGGCTGATAAACTGAGCCTTCCGACCCGGCGCAAGGCTTAAATGTGCAAAGTACTAATCAATCAGTACAAAACCACATCGGGGCTCCCGAGTAGGTCGATCCGATCCGACAAGACCTACAGTGGCTCAACTGTTCTATTTATCTGCCGGTGAGGTTTGACACGACAAAAAATTTGATAGGGTGCGACTTTCCCGTTTACCTCTTTGGAATGGTGGAAAGGTATGGCAAATTAAAAGAATGATACTTGTTTGTTTTTAATTTCATCAAAGTCCTGTA